CTCTTGAAAGCGTCTGGAGGTGGGCGAGGCCAGAGTCGCCTGGGGCTTGGATTGAAAGCCCCTGTGCATGCCAGCAGGAGGGACTCTTTCCTGTTTTTCCTGTCGATTCCCCACAAGCTTGGGCGGGTGTGAGAAATCAAACTGGTCCAGCTGTCTGACCGAGAAGGTCTTCTCCGTCCGTTTGGTTTGGTCCGGGAGTTTCTGTCATCCCTGAGCTCTTTGATGTCTTTTATCCTTTGTTTCTTTTCTTCTCAATACAGTACTGCGGCTTTATTTGCAGCTCTGTGCACTGCGGATGTCAGAGTGCTCGCTGTTTCTTGCTGAAAATTCTCTTCCTTGACGTGAGCGACCGGTTCCCACCACAGCCCTGGTCGATATCGGCAATCTATGGCTCGCCTCTAGCGATCCGGGTGCCAGTTTGACATAGCCTTCCCATGCAGGGTCGGTGCGACGTCGCACGCGGCGCTGTCCTTTGCGGGCGCGCCCTTGTTCCCAGAGCCCAGGGTTTTGGTTCCGGCTTGGCATTTTGTCTTGCACTGTCCGTGCTATGACTCTGCCTCTGTTGCTAGCAGTACTTGACACTCTGTTTTTTCATTTTGTTTATTCTTTTTAATACCATGTCGAGGTTGCTTTGGGCGAAGAGCGCTGGCTGAGCCCGGACGACACTGCTTCTCTAGTGGGACGGCTGTGAAACCCCACGTTGGAAACGGTGGTTGGAACAGAAAGGAACTTTCAGAGGACCCGGCAGCTCTTTGGTAGCGGATTTATCGCGGGACGTTTGGTGACTCTTGTTTAATAGTCCTGTATTGTTTTCCCTAAACTGCAAGAGCAGCTTGAGCCTCAGCTGGAGGCAAACGCCCGAGGCTTGCACCCGTGCTTCTGAAGCATGAATCCGGGGCTCGCGTGTGTGAGGAGGGCCGCGAGGGCTAGTGAGTGTCGGCCTTGTGGCCGTACGCAGAAAAGGCGAGCGAGGTTCGTGTCTGTAGCTAGATTTCGACCGGACTATTTTGGTCTGGCTGGGAGGAAGGAGGCGATAGGAAAGCTAGGAGTAAAACTGAAACCGAAGTTCCTTACTGGCCTTGGGGACTGAGGATCCCTTTATAGCTGTGTTAAATGGGCAATTCCTGGCAAATGTCTGTGGGCTTTCCTGAGTTCGTTCCCAGTTTGTTGGCTCTGGGCTACGACTTCTTATGAATAGCAGCGAAGGTACTGTTCTTGATGTTGAGCTTTGACCTGGCAGGAGACTCATTTGGGAATCTCCCACGCTGTGGTCTGCGGAATGAACGGCACGTGGGGATGCCCGACGCTTGGCGCGTATCTTCCCTTAGATTTTTGGCGGCACTCTTTATCACAGGCAGTAAATTGCTATGAAAGATGGCTCACGAAGGAAAGGGATCTTATCAAGCGCTAACAGAGCGGATCCCTGAACGTTAATTCCCACACCCGCTCGTGTTTCCTAGTGGAGATGGACTTTCTGGCATTTTGTTACTTCCCAAATTCATAGAGTACAGGACCGATACTGTAACCTTTTAGCTTCTTCTAAATGTTCTCGGTAAGCGCAGAATGTTTTTCAGGGTATTTGGGTAAACTGCTGTTTGAGGGACGGGTAAGGGGCAAGGGGGAATGGCTCGGCTGAGCGCACCGGGAGATTTTTAGTTCTGATACACTCCCTATTAACGTGTTGATCCTTTATCTTTGTATCCGTATGCAGCTTCCTTTCTCACACATGCCGTTGTTTTCATCCACCGAGTAGCGACCGGATGGTTTTGTTAGTCCCAGCTACGTGAGCACGGGCGACTCCTCCCGGCTTCCCGAAGCAGAGAATGGTAACGAATCTGCCTCGCGGGGGAGGTGCAATTATTGGTGTGAGAAACAACTCTCTCTCCTAATCCTATCGGAAGGAAAGGGAAGGTCACATAGGTCTTTGGCCTCCAGAAACTGTAAAGACAGAATCCCAGGGAGTTTCCCCTTATAGAAGTGCTGCTTAAAGAAATCTATTTTGTATTTAATCCCTGCTTGTGCTTCTGGCTTTAGGACAGGAGAAATGCTATTTGAAATCTGCTTTTCCCTGTTTAACTTATTCTGGATACCCACACCCCACCTCGGTGCCGTCGCGGCATCTGCGGCATTTCCTAGTGCCCGGGACCAGGGAGCGGCTCCGGTGCGTGGCACGGGCCGCCGTCTGACTTTTTAGATCCGAATGTTCTGCAGTCGCTAGGTTGCCGTCTCAGGGTAGGCTCAGCATTTGCACCTTGTGAAGTCGGTCCTTGACCAAATATGTGGGGGAGTATGAGCAGCAGAGCAGTGGGCTCGAATGCACGGAGGCTTCGGAAGGAGTTTAACGTGCTTACGCGGCCCTGCGTTCCTGCAGCTGTGCTTCACTGCCGGCGACACGAGTAGAAACCGTGACTGGTAAATGAAGCCAAAGTACACATTTTGGGTCAGGTTGGTTTTCTTTTTTGCTATTTTTGGCTCAACAGAGTTACTAGAACTTACCTATGCTGTGTATTTTTACTTCTCTGAAGGAAATAGATTCCTCTAGCTCTAAGTATGCTTGTAAGTGTATTTCTGTCTGGATACATCCTCTCCCCATGTTTTGGTAAAAGTCTTTTTAAGAGCTTCCCCGTCGAAAAAGCCCTCAGCATCGGCCTGCGAGGGATATCCTCTTGAGGCGAGAGAAAAGAGGCACGGAAAGAAATGGAAGGAAATGTAAAACCTCAGTGTTTTGGGGGTGCTGTAGGCTTTATCGTGACGGACGTCTGACCGAGGCTCGATATGCGGAGAGGGCGCTCGAGGGCGGAGGGATTGTGCGCGCGCACACCCATTTGCATGCGCTTGTAATCGTAGTGCGCTCCGCGAACGCCTGTACCGGTCGCTCTACTGAGCAACCAAGGACGATGGGGCTGATTGGTCGGTCGGGTGGGTGGCCTTACTGGGTTCTGCAGTGTCCACAAAATATTTCTTACGCGGACCTTTGCAGGGGCTGACTCGAGCAACCGAGTCCACCTTCTGCCTCTGTCTGCAAGCTCCATCATGCTGCTTATGTCGTTTAGGATGGGTTTTTAGGCAGATTTGCTGAAGTTGGGGAGAACAAGCGAAGGCTACTCGGGTAGAGAGCTAGTCAGAAAACAGCTCGGTGGACAGGAGCATAATGAAAACTTCTTCAAACCCATATATGAGGGCCATGGGCAGGCACCGTTCCTACGCTAGAACCGGGCCCACGGCCCAGTATATGCTTACGAGTGTTTTTGTTTTGCTTTTTTGTCTTAAGCAAT